AGGATAACTTTTTTTAGGTAATTTAGTTCAAAACAAGTTTGGATTTGAACACGCGAGGTTAGTTAAAAACAAGTTTGTGAGATATTCTTCCAGAATTCTAATGCAATTTGTCTAATATGGTTCATTCTATAAGAATGAAGCGTTATTCTTGGAGAATTTGGTATGAATTTAAGTTTAAAACAATTTTGGGTTTGAACATGTAATGTATTGGAGAAGTTTGTTTTTTTTTTTTTTTACAATATTTAGGGGATTTTGTGTTTGTTGGTGTTGTATCTTATTAGTAACTGTTCTATTAATATTTTTCTGTTCTTGTACATGTAATGCTCTTAGAATTAATGGTTGATTGCAATTACTTTGATGTTCAGATGAACTGGTGCTACTACAGTTGGAATGTATAGTGTTTTTTGATGTAACAGTTTCATACATAATTTAAGATTAGAGAACAGTTGGTTTAGTAAAATGTTTTTTGTTGTTAGGTTAATTTTTGTATTCAATGTTCGGTTAGGACATCGGTTTGTTGTTGTGAATGGATTATATAAATTGCAATACATCCTTATAGAATTTATCAAAGAACATGTTTCGTTGAGAATGTCGTGGGGTAGTAAAAAGAAATAAACAATTCTTTTAGAATATTATGAAAGAAATAATGAATGAAATCTTTAAGAATGTTGTGAAAGAAATAATAAAGGGAAGTATATTAAATTTTATGAGAATACAAAATGTCAGTAGAATGGTTCAGTGTATATTATTATGAACCAATTGTAATGGTTTAGGTACGTTGAAACTCATTTTTAACTTGTTTTCATTGAGAGGCGGTGTTTTAATAAAACAACTTCCCCAAGCTATATCATCATTTGATGAACAATTACCAATGGTAAAAGTCATTATAGAACAGGAAGCAACTATGGGTGAAAGGGTGGATGTTAATCAGAAAAAAGAAAGGAGAAGTACATAGTCGAATCAACGAAGAATTGTAGAAAGGCTAAAAGAAAAGATGATTGTTTTCATGTAGGTGAAATCAGATAAAAAAGGTGTAATTTAGTAGTTATTTTATCATTTGAAACGTTCAAATTTCCTTCCATATATACAACTATTTTAGTTTAGGTAATAAAAAGAAAATGTCGATCATACCCTTGAGAAATCAAAGGTTGAAATTTAGTTATTCATTCACACAATAATTAGGGTTCATATATGAACCTAACTCTCTCTCTCTCTCTCTCTCTCTATATATATATATATATATATATAGATATATATATAGATATATATATATATATATATATATATATATATATATATATATATATATATATATATATATCATCGAAGTACCCATAACTTCTTGATATACTTACAATTCTATATTTTTGCTTCATAAATTACAAGATCATACAACATTCTATATCTAATTCATAAATTAGTAATAACATATTTGATATTTATATTAATCATTAATATTCTAAAGATGGAGTTTGCAGGGACATGGGTTGGTGGTGCACAAGCACAATAGCTCGAGACAATGATCCATGAGACCATCCATATTTGTTCCCCCTTGTTACAAGGGCTAGTGCCCATACCCAAATAGAAGTGATGCGCCTGGGGAACCGGATCTTCGTCCTACGTGTATTGTGTTGGAATATTTCGAAAAGGGGTTTATGTTGATTAGTTTTTCTATGAAGACTTGAAAAAGTGTTTCCATAAAAGATGAAACATTTTTCACCAAAACAATCGATGCATTTTTTGTTCATTTGTTACAAATTCCAAAGTTAATGTTTAAAGTCATAACCATTTTAGCAAGTTTAAATCCGGATTTGTCATGTGCATGCATGTTCAATGTTGGTTTTCTTTTAGCAATTGTTTGATTTTTGGTTGATTAAAATTGATAAAATTGCAAAAATGGTCTATGTGGTTGGCAAAATTCTGTGGTTTCGGTCCAAAAAGTTTTAGTGGTGCACCAATGGTCCAAAATTGGATCTTTTTATTGGTTTTAGTCCCTATCAATATGAAAAGACCATTATGCCCCTTATATTTGTTTTTTAATTATTTTGTAGTTATTTTACTGTTTTTAATTAAATAAAAATAAAAGAGGGGCCACCCTCCCTCTTCCTATACGACCCCTTCTACCAACTCTTCCCATTCTTGTAGATTAATTCCACCACTACCTCCTTCCCATGATAGAATCTAAACAACGATACCAAGCAACAAGTAGTATTTGTGCCGCTCTTCGTCGGAGCTATGGTTTGCTAAATAGGGTCACCGCCAGAGCCAAAGTTTACATATCGGAGCTAGGGTTTGCAAAAGAAAAATGAAGAACACCTACTCAACCAACACCCGTGTCTGCCTCCATTCCAACTGAATCACTACAAACCCTGTTTTCTATATTTCCTAAATCAGTGTGGGTGTCGATTCCAAGAGTTTTGTCCATGGATTTGTAGGTCTATATATGTTGATTTCAAGCTTTTTTTTTTGCCAATTGTTGATGGAGGATGACAATCGTTATTACAACAATATCCAGGCAGACGGAGGTGGAAACAGAAAGGAAAACCGAGGCAAGTGATGCAGGTGGTGACAGAGAAGGCATGAAACGACGACCACAATTATCGAATTCCTCTCAGACTTTGTTGTCGCTCATTCCTACTGTGGCGAAAAGATCCGAAAAAATGTGTGCAAACCCTAACTCCGATCTCCGCTATGACATCATCGCCCTTCTCCGGTGCTGGTAGTGGCGATGAAGGGGTGCAGTTCATTGGTGGAAGATGACGACCATATTACTAGCAAGATCTGGTGAAGCCGATCTCCATAATATAATACATAATGTTGGATTTAAGGGAAAGACGGTGGGAGGTAGGGTGAGAAATTGGCAGATTAGGCGGTGGGAGGTGGGTTGTTGTCGTCGCCGGAGGCAAGGCCGTCGATGGAGGTTAGGTTTAGCAAGACATTAAAGAAGACGGAAGATCAAGAGAATGAGAGGGTTGTGGACTGGGGACGATGACTTAGGTGGGGCGTTTATGTGTTTTTTTGGTTTATTTAATTAAAAAAATAAGAAACCTTAAGAAAATACATAAAACGAAATAAAAAACAATTTTAGGGGCATATTCGTCATTTTAGGTTGGGTGTGGACCAAAACCACACAAAAATATCAACCATAGGGACCAAAACAACACAATGTATCCAAAATTGGACCAGTGATGCACCATCAAACTTTTTTTGGATCAAAACCACATTATTTTGCCAACCACGATGACCATTTTTGCAATTTTGTCAATCATCCATCATTATATGTAATCTGAATCGAATAATTTTTTTAATGAGATCTCGTGAAATCCTATAATGAAAAGTGATAACACCAAACGATTAAAACCTATATTTATTATTTAATGATAAAGAGAAAATGACTTACGAGACCATCGAAGTTTTAAATTTGTTCAAAAAACATCATTTAAGTATTACATTTTCAAAAAACACTATCAAACTAAGATACATGTTCAAAAAATAACAACGAAATACATATTATGTTAAAAAAATATCATCTTTATGGTTTGGGGTATCTTACATGTTTAGTCCCTAACTTTTTTTTAACTCGAATGATTCATAGTGTTTATATTTATTTTGCCTTTGGACCCTTATCGAGTTAAAAGACTAATATACCCTTATTACTTTCATTTAACATTTATTTTTATTACTTGTTAATTATTTACACAATTGATATATTTATAATAAATAACGATATAAATCGTATAAATAATTAATAAATAATAAAAATAATGTTAAATGAAAGTAATAAGGGTATATTAGTCTTTTAACTTGATCATGGTCCGAAGTCAAAACAAATTTAAACTGTAGGGACTATCCGAGTTAAGAAAAAAAAAATTCAGGACTAAAAATGTAAATTACCCCAAACCATAGAGATGATGTTATTTGAACAGAATATGTACTTTGTTGGTGTTTTTTTGAGAAAAACCATTTAGCTTAATGGTGTTTTTTGAACATATAATACTTGAATGGTTCTTTTTAAACGAATTTAAAACTTTGATGGTCTACTAAGTAATTTTCCCAATGATAAAATATCAAATAAGTAGGATGTTTTTGATAAATTAGTTGAACAACTGAATTTTAGTTGAACTTTAGCCGAACTTAAATTTCATTTACAAACGATTATTAAGATTGTATGATATGCATGTACATTTGCAAATTATATCGTTTATGTCTTAATAAATTTGTAATTTTAAAAGTGAAATTCGTTTAACAATTTGTGATATTAATTTCTACATAAGTTTTATTTGCAAATAACTAAAACTATCTATATATAGATATATCTATATATATATATATATATATAATATATATATAGATATATATTATATATATATAATATATGGTTGAGATCGTTGAGAACTCATATTTTTCCGAGACTCGATAACTAAAAGTGGAGCGTTGGATCAAAAGTAATTCATTAAGGACATGATCGTCATCTTACCAATCTCATTTAATGTTTAATTTTTTTATATTAATATAAATGTCTAAAAATTTACATCATAAATCAAAATTTCAATTTTTTTTATAAATGTAGTATTTTTCGTTTTTTAAAAAAAATGCAGATTTTTTAATTTTTATAGAAAACATGATTTTTTGAAAAAAAAAATTGAAAAAAAAATATTTTTTTAAAAAACTGCAATTTAAAAAAAAACTGCATTTTTTTTAAAAAAACTACAATTTTTTCAAAAAAACTGCAAGTTTTTTAAAGAAAGTTACATTTTTTTTCAAAAAAAACTGTATTTAAAAAAAAAAACTGCAATTTTACAAAAAAAACTGCATTTTTTTTTAAAAAAAAGTAAATTTTTAGGTGCATATATGCATATTTTTTCAAATGCATATATGTATATTTCTTATACTATAATATTCGTAAGTAAATCACAAAAAATCTCATTTTTATTAATTAATCTAAAAACATAATAGTACAATTATTTTATTTGATACAAAATAAAATATAAAAAATAAAAAATGCTACAAATTTCAAGGCGTTTTATGTCTTCGTGTCAATATTTCATTATTTTCTTCAATTTATCATTTTCACCTCTTCAATATTCACCACAATTTCCTCCAAATCTACAAGAAAATTAAAAAAAATAATTGATGCAAAAACACTCACAAAAATACATATGTGATTTACATGTGAATCACATGTAATTCATATGTGAACTACATGTGATTTACATGTGAATCACATGTAATTCATATGTGAATTACATATGAATTACATGTGAATCACATGTAATTCATATAATTCATATGTGAATCACATGTAATTCATATGTGAATTACATGTAATTCATATGTGAATTACATGTAATTCATATGTGATCTACATGTGAATCACATGTAATTCATATGTGAGTTTCATGTGAATCACATGTAATTCATATATGAATTACATGTATATATGAATTACATGTGATTTACATGTGAATCACATGTGATTTACATGTGAATCACATGTAATTCATATGTGAATCACATGTAATTTATATGTGATTTACATGTGAATCACATTTAATTCATATGTAAATTACATATGAATCATATGTAATTACTAAAATATTTTATCAATTCACACAAATCGCATATTATTTGTAATTGATTATTGCCTATGGATGTTAGCATTACTTTTCAATATTTTAGTTTCACCAGAAACTAGACTTGACAAATCCTGAAAAGATTATTAACATTAAAGTCAAATAAGTGAGCTTTACTTAATATAAGTAATGGTTCATTTTTTAATCAACCATAAAAAGGTAGGTTGGTACCTTTCGATATGAATGGAGGAGACTTCTTTCCAACTTCTTGTCAATCTTTTTCACACTTAACCCATTACACATATATTTTTTATATTATTAACAAGTGCTTGATAGTTGGATAAAATAATTTTGAACAATTATCACATTGAGCCCACTGTTCTTGTTCTTGTTCTTGCTCCCTGAAACATAAGAATATAATATTGTCAGGTTAAGTAAAATTTTGTTATAATTACATACAGAACGAGAAAAAATGTTTAATTGATTGCTACCTAGAAGAGCGGACAGTGAATATACTCCCCCTCCTATGTATATTGTAGCTCAAGAGTCAGGCCTTGACTTGCTTCCTTGCTTATCATTTGCATACCAGCTGACATCTCTAATAGCCAAGTTCATATTTCTTGACAAATGGATTAAATGGGAATTTGTGTTTCTTTTTTGTGACTGAAGAAGACAAACACACAAAATAAAATATATAATACCAGAGCAATTCGATCCCCATAGCTAAGTGAAATGGATTCTGTATTCAGAAAAAGAAAATTTCTGTCAAAATGGAAATGGACTAGTCAACCACCAAATTCTGTTTTCAATCATATCGTGAAACCTAGGTTAGCAATATGATAATGAGTACGATCCTTGATCAGACATTTGAACTATGAGTATACATAAATTTCATAAAAAAATCCTATGTATCCAAATTCTAAATGGTTAATATGCTAATTATCATTCCACTTCATGAACTATATGAGAAACTATTTTTACAGCAACAAGCCAATAACAGTTGATGCTGAACAACTCTAATTTGATACTATTTCAACATAACTGGTGAGGAAGTTGAGAATTATGTTACATAATGATTCAAAACATCCAGAACATGCCTAAATACATTATATCAATGCCAAATACATAATTCAGAAAGAAATTGTGGATCGGGTTAGGGTTTTGGCTCACCTCCATCGAGAAGACTAGCCGATGTACACTTCTTCGACAATCTAGCCGGATCGGTTCAAATTGAGATAAAGTGAAGTGAACCTCAGATGTAGCTGCAAGAAGAAGAGAACAAAACAGGTTAGACAATATGGACTTTTTTTTTTATTTTGATTTACCTAATCGATGAATTTGAATTTTCAAGGTAAACTATAGTCACGATTCTGAATTTTTGATAAATTTTGAAGTGTATTTCGACAATATTATATACAGAATTACGTACCTATGAAATCGATTAGTAGACACAGTAGCGGCCGGAGGGAGAATGAAAGAAAGTTTCGCCGAGATTGATTGAACATCACCGATCAACCACCAGTATCCGAATTAGTATCAGAATTTGTAGGTGGTAAGGATATGTCATGGAAGAACCACAATGTCGAAGGAAGGAAACGACGATGAAGGCGAAGGAGCGAATCACCATCCGGAGGCGAGGCGATGGCAATCAAAGGCGGGAACGATGAAGATGTGTGTGTATGAGAGAGAGAGAGAGAGAGAGAGAGAGAGAATGTGTAAACAAGATTATCGGATCGATACTTACTGCAAAATTCCGAAGAGCCAGTCAGGAATAGTCAAGAAGATGTAAGGGGACCAAAAGTGAGGTGAGGATCTTCGTCCTCCAGTTTGTTCGATCGAGTATCAGCAAATAACTGTTACACAAGAAGCAAAAACTTGTCAACTCAGATCCAATTAAATTCAATAATTAAGCACGCAGAACTGAAGAAGATGATATGAAGAAAATGATTCTACCGATTGCTTAGATGAAACATGAAGGCTGGAGGAAAGTGATGAAGATCCGCTGATTGTAGAAATCGATTTCATTAACGCCGTAAACGATTGTAGGTGTAATCGGTGGCAACAGATAAACTACCGATGGTTGTAGCATTTGTTACAAATCGATTTCTACAATCGATCTGGAGAGAGATGCGGGACGAAGGGAGAGAGAGAGAGGGGGGAGGGTAGGTTGATGTTATCCTTGAAATTCCCCTCGTTCATTTTAATTAGATGCCCCGTGTCTTCTTTTTACCAAGTATTTACAAAACTGCCACAATGCATCTTAGCCTTTTATTATTTTAATCTAACGATTCTTGTTTAGTTCTCGGGTTCTCGGGAAACTATGAGTTCTCAAATGATCCTCCCTATATATATATATATATATATATATATATATATATATATATATATATATATATATATATATATAAGGCTGGGTTATAATGTGGATGACATCTATTGTGTGGTCGTAAGAATAATTATAGACCAATAGATGAAAATAATAAATAGCTTTGATTTGAGGGTCTATGATATTACAATGGAGTAGCATGCACCATATAATAACATAATTTTTATTTGGGTAAATAGCATAGAAAAACACTTCGTTTACACCAAAATTCTAATTTGATACCGTGTTTTTTTGTCTCAAATTTGACACTGTGTTTTCCAATTTGTTACAATTCTGACCACTTGACCGGTTAACCAGGTTACATGCTGACGTGGCATGATGACGTGTCAATTTTGATGATGTGACATGTTGACGTGTCAAAGTTGAATTTTTTTTCCACAAAAAACACTAAGTTTTCATTTTTTTCGATTTTGACATTAAGTTTAATTTTTTCTTTCAATTTTGACACTATGTTTTTTTGTTCCAAATCGAACATCATTTTTTCCAATTTTGTTCAATTTTGACCATTTTCCATTTGAAACCGTATAAATATATTTTTTTATTACATTTTAAACCATATAAATATATTTTTTTTGTTTAAAAACCACATTTTTATTTAAATACAAGGTGTTTTTTTTTTTTTTTTTTTTTTTTTTTTTTTACATTCAAAGTATAATGTATAAATATGCATTAGTTATATCATGAGAATCAAACTAACCATAAGCTTCTAATAAGATGTGAAAATTTCAGGGGTTGCAAACTTGACATCCGAGTTTAATCGACTACACGCCTCCAAACCTCCGAACTCATTTTAAAGTTGCGTATTTAATATAAAATACGGTTTTTATATAACTAATACATATTTATACATAAAATTATGGTTTGAATGTAAAAAAAAAAAAAAAAAAAAAAAAAAAAAAAAAAAAAAAACTTGTATTTATACAATACTATGGTTTTTAATTGAAATGGAAAATGGTCAAAATTGAACAAAAATTGATAAATGATGTTCGATTTAGAACAAAAAAACATAGTGTCAAAACTGAAAGAAAAAATTAAACTTAGTGTCAAAATCGAAAAAAATGAAAACTTAGTGTTTTTTGTGGAAAAAAAATTCAATTTTGACACGTCAGCATATCATGTCAGCATGCCACATCATCAAAACTGACACGTCATCATGCCACGTCAGCATGTAACCTGGTTAACCGGTCAAGTTGTCAGAATTGTAACAAATTGGAAAACACAGTGTCAAATTTGAGACAAAAAAAAAACACGGTGTCAAATTAGAATTTTGGCGTAAACGGAGTGTTTTTTATGCTATTTACCCTTTTTATTTAAAGGGTATTTTAGTCAATTGTGCTAGTATTAAAAAAGGAAAAATTGTAGATTTTAGGGATAACTGATTATCTTAATTTTAAAAATATGATTTTATATGATAATGATTCTCTTATTTTAGGTATTCTTAGAGAATAAGTTTATGAGTAAGACGTTCATTCTAACAGAATATGCTTATAAATGTGAAATCTTTTTTTAAATAAATTCCATTATTCGGAAAATGTAATACTAAACATATATTATCAAGATTAACACCTTGTACCGAGTAATAATGATTAAGAATACCACAACTAATTATTAAAATTTACATTCATTTTTAAAGAATACGATTATAAACAAGAATTACATTCATTTTGAAAGAATACAACTAATAATGGTTAAAAATGACATTTATTTTTAAATAATAAAAGCTAGAATTAAAAATTGAAAAAAAAACATTGAAGCCTAAAAAAAACGTTAATACATTCTGAAAGAATATCGTTGACAAGAATCACTTTCTATTATGTGGTCTATTCTTCAAGCATCAGTTTCCAGGATGCACTTGATCTTTGCAGAATGTAAATAATTCTGACATAATCCACTTGATTTGCATTTTCGAGAAAAAGAAAGATGATCAACCAATTGTATTCGGATAAAACAACAATCAAGTATCAATAAAAGCAAAACACCACATGTAAAATTAAATAACAATCAAAACACAAAATAATATGCTTTGATTATCAAAACACCAATTAACCGATGGCCTGCAAAGATAGAAAACATTTATGCACATTAGGTTGATATAATTTGTTATTGTTTTAATTATATTTCATGTATTAAATAAACAACATACAATAAAATAACAACCAAAATGACGTCAAGTTGCTCTCAATTATATAGGACAAAATATATATGTGAATTGTATTTAAAAAAACAACTGTATTATTAGCTATGAAAATACAAGTACCCTAATATCCTAATATAGAATGAAATGAAGAAAAGAAGAAAGAAAGAAAAGATGCAGACAACATAGAGATAAATGCTTTCACTCTTGTTTTTTTTTCCTGCTAAAGCACACTTTCCACAATCCCAACTATTTTCCAATAAACAACACAAAACAATCTCACTAACAATTTCATCAACCCATTAAAATCAATTAATTCATTTTTGAAAAACACATATTTATATTTGTAAATTAAGAACCTTAAACCAAACATGAAGCACCATATATATGTGCCATATCAGGCATAATCGTTTCAAGCACCTCGAAAGAAATCAAGAAAGTCAAGAAACAATGAAAAACATGTTACCTTAATTTTATGTTTCCATGGCATTGATCATCAGTGGGTACAAACAGCCGACCCATTTTTTCTCCTTCTCTCTTACTATGTATAAGATTTCATCCAAAATAAGATAGAAGGTTTTTAAAAAAACGTGGTGATGGGGATTGATGGCAATCCAGATGATGTTGAGGGTTGTCGATGTTGATTAACATGGTGAGGGGTCGGTGGTATTTTAGGTTTTAAAAATGATTTCCCTTATTTAAAGAGATAATAAAATTTTTAATTATTTACCATAATTAGATGTAGTTAATATTACTATTATACCCTTATATTATTTATTAATGATTTGTTTTTTCTTTTATTCTTATTGGTCCCTACGTCCATACAATATATGTCCATCTATATATGAACCTAACTCTCTCTCTCTCTCTCTCTCTCTCTATCTATATATTATATATATATATATATATATATATTATATATATATATATATATATATATATATATATATATATGGGGATAGGGATATACATTACAGCCTCACCTAAGCTTAGGTACTAAACCTATAAAATATGTTGTTTTAACTTGGTAAATATACCCGATTTGGTTTTCACTTTGTCAATATATCATCATCGATAACATTTCTTTCTTCCATTATCATTTTACCATTCCTATTTTGTTTCCTCCATTATTGTTTATTATTTCATCCCAGTGAACATTACTTTTTTCCACTGTCACGAAGATCTAAGATAATCAATATTGTTACTTCCTTATTAAAACTATTGCATCGATCTTCAATCTACATCTCTAATTGTTAATCGTGAATCCCTTAACCGCAATCTTTATATAGTAAAACAACGTATTTTCATGAGGTTTAGTACCTAAGCTTAGGTGGGGTTGTAATGTATATTCACTTTTCCCTATATATATATATATATATATATATATATATATATATATATATATATATATATATATAATAAAATCACAACATCCCTTATATGAACAGTAACTAACCGGAGGTACTGTTTATCGGATTACTTTAACTCAACCATGGTCACCGCTTGTTCTCCACAGCTTTACCAAGCCCCCAGCTATACTCAACAAACATCACCGGCCATCCTTCCAGAACACTCTCTATCTATCTCGCCATTATTGTTTTCTTCCTCAAGGTTTTTTGCTTTGTCGACCACTCTGCTTCATCTTTCCTCTTCTTTTGAGTCGTCATCGGGTTTAGGGGAAACGATGGTCAATGGATAGTAGGGTTTTTAGGGTGGGTGCTTGGCTTGCAATTTTGGGTCGGCTGACTTTCCGGTTCAAAACTTCAAATACCAGTACCGGAAGGTATAAGCTTCCTCGCCCCTCACCTCGCGTTCTCATTTTTCTGTTTCGATTTCATTTACTCTATGTTTCATTTACTCAGGTTGAAACGTACATCAACATTATCACCCTTCTCCTCCTGCCTTCATTTATGTTGCATATCACCATCGTCTATTGCTATCACCGCCACCGCCACCGGACCCCTTTCCCTTCCGCCACATCCAGGTATGTCTTCTTCCAGCACCTTTTTGCTCTTATCGCCTGTAATCAACTTCCAGATGTCGGAATATAAGCAGGTCCAAACCAGCCTCCGTCAACGACTCCGACACTTGTGCCTCAATCATGTTCTGATTTCAATTTGTGTTTGATTTCTTGCCACAATCTCCTGCAAATGTTTTTCTTTTTAAAAAAATTGGGCTGCCTATACATATATCCCTCACTTATCTGAGGGTCCATTGAAAAACTTTGTTGCTGATAAGGTAAGAGCATCTATTTTTGTTGTAAGTAATGATTATTTCATAATGCATGTACAGTGTTCGATGATATGCCCAAATTATTAAGTAGCTATTTATATTCTTTAAATATTCATAACTAGAGCCTACCATCGACCTGTCATAAAATTCTGTGGTGTTGACGTCGACATTGATTTTAAATTTCATGCCTTGGATTTTGAGTACTTGATTCAAAATTTCGGCTGTTGGATGAGATGTAAGAAAATTGATATTTGAAAGATGTAGGAGGCTTCAAGGGGTACTTTCAAGTGAAGTATTAGTTAAAATGTCAAAATATCCCTTCCATGATCCACCTGGAAATAGGTTTCTCAGTTTGATTAACAATGCAATCACATAGTTTGACAAAAAGAAAACATTATATTCATGAAGCACCTTAAAAATTATTCTGCAATGAGCAGCAGCTATTCTCTCTTCAATTTTTTTTAATAACTTGAGTTTCTTTTCAAATCCATCAGTAGTAACATGTTCATTTTGGTATGTTAATGTTAAATGTTGACTGATAGATACACTATGATAACATAACAGGACATTAAATGGAAGCACCAAAACGGATGAGGCTGAAAGTACAATGTCTATGGTTGCTCAATTTCTTGAGCAGCTTCATGGAAACATATCTTTTTGTGTATCTTTCTGGAATCTGAATTCAGTGAATTGTTCTTGATCTGACTTTACAATATTGGCAGGATGTTAACAATCATGTTTTATTTTTTCACAATTTTGATTAAAGAGTTTACTAAACAACCATGTTTTTCTCTGTTGCTGCAGATGGCCCTAACTGGATCGCAACAAAAAAGAACCAAAAACCAACTAATACTTCCAAATTTTTTGATGTACCAGCACCATTTTTGCATACGTTCTAATATTATGAACATTTATTTTCAAATGCAACTTATATTACCATATAGAAACAAGAGAATAACACAATAAACCAACTTGTCCATGCAAGAAATGGAATACACTCACCCATATATGGTAGCTACACTAGTTACCTACCATTAAAGACAATATAATCATTTTAAGTAGGTGTCAAGACTAAAACATAACAAACCGGAAACATAAGAACCTTCCGAATAAAAAATAAATAAAAAAGCATACATATTTTTTCAAACGACATGGACCATTCATGTAATTTATTATGTTAACGTTTTTTTTTTTTTTTTTTTTCATCGGCTCTGGTTAGACTAGTTTTAAAGTAAGGTAGCCTATAGGCCCCAGCCCCAGCCCCCATATACACAATAAAAGGCCCAATATAAGATTAACTGTATAACCTTATGTCTTAAGAGTTAAGATGCGTTTCCTCAAGGCACACTAAATAAAACATGAAGATACCACTAAAAATGAAAACAAGAGATCTTTTAATACAAAATTTCGATGCTAAAACTAAAACTACATGCATTGATCAAGCTTAGTAAACAAAATATTTTAAACTGTATATATAAATATTGGATAATAGATTTTGAAATATATATATATATCAACCATAAAAGTAGCAGTTTTTTTTTTCCAAATTCTATATATATAAACATATTCAACCATTTTGTTGACATTTGTTGGGTTCGGATTCAACACCAACCATAAAATTACCGATATTGGTGCTTAACAATTCGTTCCTTTCTTCCCCATGCTTATATCAAGTTTAATTATCATTTAGCCTCCTGTCATGTAATATTTCAAGCATTCTCTTTTCTATGTCATTGTACATTTTGCAATAAACGATCAAAACAAACCAAATGACTATTCGTCAATTCGCCATCTTTGCACTTGTCTTGTTTGCCATTGTTGGGATGGCATTTGCAGCCGATGATGAATCTCCCTCGAAAGGAGACTCGGCCTCAACTCCAGCAGGTGAAGCTGGAGCCGCGAAAGGAGACTCGGCCGCAACTCCAGCAGCTTCAGACGAAGCTGGTGCAACAGACATGTCTCCCAGTGAAGGTCCATCCAGTGATGGCTCGAGCTTCAAGGCCTCTATTGTTGGTGCATTTGTGAACGCTATGGTTGTCACCATGGTCTTCTTTTAGGTAGTATATCATAGTATTGTATATATATATATATATATATATATATATATATATATATATATATATATATATATATATATATATAAGGTGTAATCTGTGGATCTCGTCTCTAGGCTTTGGATGATGGATCGGTTTTTGAGATAGTCACGTTTTGATAAGAGAGATGGGATTTGGATGATGTTGGCCTCACCTCTCATGTGTTAATAAGCTCAATGCATAAAGAGTGTTTATTTGATGTATACATTAAGCCATTGATACAAACCAATAAATGAAATGTTTGCAACACAATCGTTATCATTGTTATGGATTGACTAGACGTGGTGAAATAGATGGGTCAAATGAATTAAGTAATTGATTAAGATCTACAATTTTATGTACGGGTGGGTCATAAAATTATATAATATATTAAAAAACATTTTTTTAATCATTAATAATCTTTATATGACATTTTAATTTTGATTGTGGTGTATGAACTTTTCTGCTCTCGCTTTTGCTTATATTATATTATATTTTAGATATTCTTCCATAAATAATCGGAAATTAAAAATAAATAAATTATATCAAGTCAAAGCTAAGTTTTTTAAATAACAAAAGGTTAAATGCAACGTCTATTATACTTGGTGCAAATTGTACTAAAACAAAATTTTCTTTTATGTCGGTTGTATTCTGGGGATAACGTTATTAAAAACAACATTTTTTCGGCCTATAACTTAATTTTAAGGATTTCATTCTGCCATTCTTGGAGGTGATAACGACGGCCTTGGAGCTGCTCTTTTGAAGATTGCGTTTGTGGATTTAATTCTCTAAAGGCTAGTTAAATTTGCTATTAATTCATTCTTGCCATCTTGGTATTTTTAAAAATAATGTTTAATATTTGATATTTACCATTTCATACACAATAACAATGCATTTATTGTACTGCAATGTGGCTTGGTGGTAATTATTTGATGTGAAACATTTCAATAGAGTCAATACCATCTGCGGTCCCTATTATATTGTTTTGTGACAATTCAAACAAATTTTAAACCATAAAAACGGGTTATCGGTCAACTTTTACATCCTGTTCTGGAGTTTTAAAATAAAAGGGGAAAGGGAAAAAAAGGAAAGAGAAAAACATCATGTTTTGATGGAGGAAAGGGAAAGAAAAGAAAGATCATGTTCTCAAATTGGAAGGAAAGAAAAATAAAATATCATTTTTATCTTTTTGCCTTTCATTAATTAATATATAGAAAGATCAATTACCATCTATAAAATTACTATTTCTTTTGTAAATATAAATTATATACATATATTTAATCCTAACATGGGAACAGTAAACTTCTAAAGTTGTAGAGTTTCACCACGTCACTTTGTACAGAACTACTGTTTCGTCCTTCTCACAAAACCACCGAATATCAGTTTGTAAATTCCTCCGCCCCTTTCTTCTTCATTCGTCTCTGAAATCTCCCAGCGACTTCTCATCCGGTAATTGGAGACTGTGATCATTTGAGTCTCCCAACGATTTCTCATCCAAAATAGAGGAATACGATCTCATCCAACAAGAAAGCAATTCGATTCCTCATTAACAACCTCCTGCGCTCTATTGCCGCCACTAAACGCCCGCAACGAACCGTCTATACCCTGTTTAGTGAGGAATTTTGGTATGTTGTTGGTTCTTTCAATTACGTAATCATATTTGTTCAATTTCTCCTCTTTCTAATCCTTCTGTGTTTAGGAGCGATGTTTCTGACTGTTTGGGTTTGACAATCGAGCCTCTCACTCTTATTTTAGGAAAAAAAAATTTACAAGTTAATCTCATTTTAATCGTATAACATAGTTCTAACTAGATATGTTTTCTATTTTAAGAACCCTTTCTGTGAAAGCGTAATCTACTATTGTTTTTTATATTTAAAATCCTAAATTAGAGTTGTTAGTGACGACTCTCAACATTAGTTACTCTCATTGTGTATTTAGGCTCTCAATATTTAATTTCTTTATTTGTTTAATGAACCAGTTGTTTAAAAAATCAACATGTTTACGACTTTGTCTCTTCGTATTTGATCCCTATACTAAAATTGCATGCTTAATTAGATGTTCTTACTACGAATTGAAGCTGATTGATTCAATCAAAATTAATGATTTATGGAATTTAATTGGAAATTAGTTTTATGCCACCTCCTATTTTACTTTGTAGGTGCTGCAAGAATCCTATTCCCTTTGTAGTGGTTTTCTTTTCGCTCTTGGTTACCCTTTGCTTCAGGTATGTGTTTGTCTTCCTTATCCCTTCTATATTTCTTCGATTTTGCCTTTTCAGCTCTTTCTGTAAATCGTGATTGACCATCAGACCCGGGAATTGATTGGGTAAAATGAATCTTCCTAAAAAGTCTTTCTTTTTGTTATTTTCTATATCCCGCTTTATATTTAACTTTTTTTTGTTTAATATTTCAGTCGGAATACAAAACCAAGAGCTCATCAAGATGTGGAACATAGAGAAAGGTAATTTTTTTTAACACTTAAATGATATTCCGATTTCTAATTGAAATGTATCCAATTGTTTATTTTAATGTGACCTCCGATTGTTGATATTTAAGAAGGAAAAAGGCATAATGTCAGTTTTAATTATTATAATTTTGTTTTTTGATATACTATTTTTGTTTTTGTTAATTGATTTTATAATATATTGCTAGGTTGGATCAGTGGCATCAATATGCTTTACCTTCTTTGTTGTAAGATACCAATTTACCCTTCCTCACCAATAGGTTATTTTTTTTTATCCTGTAAAAAAAATCTTTCTAATTATAGTTATATAATTTCATTTTTTGTTTATTATAGCATCCTACTTTTAATTCTTTCCATTACACCATTGTAGTTTTAAAAAACCTATCTATCTATTATCTCAATCTCATCCAAATACAAAAAGAAAACAATTTTAAAATTAAAAAAAACATTAAAAAAGTAAAATGCTATTTTTGGGAAGAAATTTGATTTTAGCAATTGCAGGATGTTGTATCGGGTTTTGATTCGGAGGAGTCATTGGATGTTCTTGATCTTTTACATGGTATGAATATGATGTCATTGTTTAATAATAGTTCTAGACTAAATTTTAAAAAGGGTCCATGTCGTTTGTCATAAATTGTAATTTTAGTCCGAGTTTTGAATTTGTGCAATTGGGGTTTTCAGTTTTAGTTTCAAAATCACTAATTTATTTACCTCAGATTCAATTCACGATAAATGACGGGTTCATGACAGCTTTGTGAGAGGACCTAAATTGAGGATGCATCCTATCACTATGCTTTCATTGTTTCTCAAACTTCAATTCCATTAGTAGTGAGATTAATAGGAAGAATTCGTATTTTTTTGTTTATGTTAGCATTGATGAGTTTTTATGTTCTTTTTAGGGTTGAATCTATTTCAGCTACTTTGGTCATCTACAAGACTACAACCTCTCTCAACTTAATCTACAGGTAAATCAAATCCCCTTTTGAGTTTCCTTCATCAGCCTACTTACTATACATGTTCTTTTTCTTGATTGTCAACTTTCTATTTAAAGATTTATTTTCAAGCATATCTACATAAAGCCTCAATAAGAGGGGTAAAACTCTATACAAACAAACATCAGATAAAAAACAGATGTGTGATGGCAGGACTGAGAAAGGTAAGAAGAAAGCAACAGTTGCAACTGTCACTCTCATGTTATTGGTTTTGAATCTGTAACGGTAACAAGAAATGTCATTCATTTAGCCCTAAAGAAAATTATCCACTATTAAAATATTTTTTATCAACATTTTCTTTTCATTTTTTCCCATTATAGCATTTTACTTTGAAACTTTTATCTAATTATGGCTATGTCAACATGGCAAATATGTTATTTAACTTTTAGATTGTTAAACTACAACTCTATTCGGGAACAACATCTTTAAACATTTTTCTTATTGTAGATGGTCCATCTTTAACTGATGGTATGGATGGTAATTTGAAGGAAGCTACTACTTGCTTTGAATAAGGCACGAATGAAGTTGAGAAAGATAATTATAATTTCATATTGGATGTTATATTTTCTCCTGGTGACATATATGATGCCAAAGGATGAAGGGAACCGATGCGAACGACTACAATCTTCTGGAAAGTAATTTGGGACTCATGTTCAATTGATATCATAATCTTTTTGTTTTCTTTTAAATCTGAATATTGTGCATAAAGAAGCAACAAAAACAGATGAAAGAACGGGGTCAAACATTAAAGAGAATAATTATTTTAACAACACAACTTATGTAAGTTTTATTCTGGTCTGTGGTGAGTAAATTTCTTTTAGATGATGCTATGGAATGTTATGAAATAGTAATGTACTTTGCTGCTAGAATAGCATTTGGTGATGCATATCAGATCAAGATTACCATGAGATGGAAAGATAGTGTCTTTCCATCTTCTGTGTTAACAAATCTATACCCCGCAAAGCGGGGTTCCTCATCTAGTTTAATTAATAAAACATAGTAATTTGGTTATATATGCCACTTTTTTCTTAAAAAATTATTCCCATATACTTCATTTACCAAGTTGTCGTTGGCTTCCTCCATCTCTTCTCGCTGGTTACTCTTTCTTCCTCTTCGCAAATCTTTCAACATCGACCACCACCTGTCATGTCATATCAACACCCTTTCCATCCCCTTTTCATATCTATCGATCGCTGCTCTGTCAACTAGCAAGTATCATTGCTAAGTATCTCCGACGACAACACACAAACACTTGGATTTGATTTTGGTGTTATCAGAAACAAACCAACAATCGAGGACAGTTTAAAGTTTCAACTACGCGGTGGTTCGGATAATGACAAAGGGGTTGGGGGATTTGTAGGATTTTTGGTTCGAATTGTACGATCGTTTAGTTATCTTTTCAAGCAAAACAGGAAAAACTATTTTTTCTCTATCTTTTTTCCACCGGTTGGTTAACTGGCGGTTTATAACCACGTCAACCCTGAGAAAGAAGAAAACTCATTGTCCCATCCGGAACACCCGCAACTCAAACACACAAAAACAAACACCCAAACATGGATTGTATTTTGTATAATTGGAGCTAGATAGCTCACATATTTCCCGGTTCATGATCTCTCATCATCCAAACCACTATGTCTTTCAACAACATTCCGCTAAGCATCGATGTAATTTTTGGGGAAACCAAATCAAAATCAAAATTCGTGTTTTTTTTGGTAGTGTGGTTGTCGTAGATACATATACCGGTGAAGGAAAGTTACTTTTTTTCAGTGTTGTGATCCATCGGAGATAACATGTGGTGTTCACCAGTAGAAATGGATAGGAAGAAAAAGACAGAAGTCGGAGTTGGCAAGCGAATGGTCGCCGGTACAAAAAAATGTGATGAGGAAGAAGTAGACTGATGACGTCTGTAGAATAGATGGAGGTACGGGCCATCTGCTAAATTTCAATATGCTTTTGATGTGTTTTTATTTCTTTAATATAAAATGTGGTGAGTTCTACTAAAGTGCCACGTTTTGGTATTTAAAATTGAAAGCATAACGGTTTGGTAAATAAAATTTTCAATTACTATCTATAAGTAGAAAACTCCATTAAATAGACATATTAATTTCATTGTTCGGATACAACAAATATTCACTCCACATATCATTTGTTGTTGACGATCTTATTAGTTCCCCTCCATCATCCACATCCCTTGAAGCATGGTATTCTCGTTCATGTGTAGCCTTTAACACTTCATGCGACACTTCTTCTTCAAGTTCTATATCATGATCTTTCTCTAGCAAAAAATTGTGAAGAATACAACAAGCCAAACATATTTGGGATTGGGTTTCACATGAGTAAAATGGCTCATATATGCTTCTAATTATAGGAATTCGTCTCTTCAAGACACCAAACTCTCGTTCAATAGAGTTTCGCAATGATGCGTGACGAAGGTTAAACAATTCATGGGGATTCTAAGGTGCACGAGTCGAATACTCCTTCAAGTGATATCTAACACTTCGGTAAAGAGGTATGGGTGTATGTTTAAGGGGCAGACCTCCATCAACTAAATAAAAGTTACCTATAAACAAGAAAAGTTATTGTCATACCAAATTTATTTTAATAAAACCAACTTTTGTGAACAAATTACATTTTGGAATGATTAGTTTATCTTCTCTAGTTAGTGCATCTTTCAGTACTCTTGAATCAGATGTTGTGCCTTCCTATCCACTCAATACATATGTGAACTTCACATCGAAAGTACAAGCGACTAATGAATTTATTGTTGGATACCCTTTACGACCGCGATATCTAGGGGCATCTTTACTTGGTACTTTGACACAAACATCTGTTCCATCAATTGCCCCGACATAGTCTTTAAAAAACAGATAAAATCTCCTTTTTGCTTGAATTTCTTTCCGAACGGTATCACGAGTTGGTTGAATAATATATTGGTCTTCTATTGATATAACTGCATTCAAAACTCTATGAAAATGTCTACTTGTGGTTGATCTAGATCGACAATAAAGCATGATACGAAACGATTTCTGAAATCATTTCCAACTATATGTAAAAATCTAGCTACTTGTTCTTCAATAGTCATTCGTTGAGTTGCTCGAAGGCCACCATTATCCCTTAACTTTTGATATAATAACTTAAAGGCATTCTCATTCATACGGATAAGTTCTCGACATTTTCCACTTGTTGAAAGGTCATGCAACATTTGTTCTCGTACTTGTCGTCTATGTAGCCTCTCTTCTTGAGTAATTTCGTTTACATGGTTTCTTTCAAACCTATGATGTGCAATAAGGACAATCACTAAACAAACCAACTGAATAGCACCCAAGTGTTGACTTTTTGCCATAAGATATAATTTATCATCCCTAGATTGGAGGAGGTTAACACGTATCAACTCAAACCCTAGATATCTTTCGTCTCCCTCCGATATTAAGGGGGTATTTCAGATTGTTTTTTATACTTCAAAAATGTTTTTGGGTAAAAATGTTTATTGATTTATGGTGGTCGTAAAAGAAGTTTTTAAAAAAGTGTTTGGATTTGATTTTATGGTGACAAAAGTCAATAAGTTAAAAAATGTTTGGCTGGAAATCTCCTTTTTGAAACTAGTACAGGTGAAAAGCTAAAAGGAGTTTCAAAAAGCTAAATTTTACATGCTTTTCAAAACTTATTTTTGAAGGCTTTTTATAACTAATGGAAAAGTAATTTTGAAAAGTGTTTTTGTAACATACACGTTTTGAAATCGTGTTATGTAATTTGAAAAGTTAAAATAAAATATTATGTGAAATTGAGTGTTAAGTTCTAACAGATAGTTTTTACTAGAAATGAAGTAAAACTATGTTTAGAATCACTCATTAAATGTTGGAAGTCTTATGAGATTCCAATTAAAAGCCAATTAGTGAAATTTAGCGAAAATATAAAATTTGAAATAAGTAAAATTTTATTATTGAAAGTTGTAGATAATCTCGTTAGAAACATGTAGGCGAAAACCTCATCCAAATCCGAGTTATAACGAAGAAGTTATGACCAATCAAAGATCTGCGATAAAACCGGCACGGTGCCGAATGACGTAAAAAGTGAGTTTTTGATAAACTACTTTTTAGCCTTAGTGATCTAAATGAAAGTCGTAGTAATCGTTAAACCGAGAATTTTGATAAAAAGAGCGCCAAAATTTGACTTCGTATGAGGAAGTTATGATTTTTACAAGTTTCAGCTTAGCAGTAGACAACTAAAAACTCGAATTTTAGATCGAGTGATTTTTAGCCGACACAACCTAAACGAGAATCGAAGGTCTCGTTATTAGTAGTATAACGGTAAAAAGTCTGACGAAAACGGACGTCGGATGAAGAAGTTTTGAATTTTTAACGGATTTACCAGTCCCGGTCTGTTAAAAATAATAATATAAAAATAAAAATCAAAATTTTCCGACGAAGTCTAAACGAAAGTTGTAGAGCATAATTTTCTCTACACATGCATATAAAGAACGTCAAAACAGAGCCCGTATGAGAAAGTTATGGATTTTACAAGATTGGGCACATTTTCATTTAATTTTCGCATGAATAGTGTTGATCCACGTGGCATCTTCTGATTGGACCGCAACCTCGCGTGTCACCCTCTGATTGGTCCGAAGTCGTCACCCCTTTCCCCATTGGACCGAAGTCCGGTCCACTAAGAGGCTTCCATCTGTCCGAAGTCGATGACGCGTCTGAGGAGCTGGTGGCTCGCAAGTTCGCCTCGTGTCACCCTTCCGAGCCTCGCACCTGGCCGCCTCGCATGCGCGACTTCTGGCCTCCGAACAGAGCTCCGGCTGCTGCGTGGCCTTCGCAGCTGCTGACCCTCCTAGCCTCGGATCCGAAGCTCCGGATCTCCTCCCCTATAAATAGTGGCCTTGCGAGATTAGCCGGGTATTTTGAGAATTTTGCCATTTCTCACCCCTTATTCCATATTTTTAATATTTTGACTTTCCCCGAAGCACCGGGATTAATTCCAATGCCCGAAACACGCCCCGAGATTCCCGAGAAGCCCGAAAAATTTATCTTTTCGGTTTCGAAGCTCTACCATCGCATGGCCCGGTTTTCAACAACGAAAGTCATATTTAGAGCCGAAGTGCTGCCCAAATTATTATTTTGACCCCCGGTTGTTTTAAGGTGAGTTTAATATGTGAAAACAATTGTATGTTATGTGTTATATGTGCTATGTGCTTTTCCATGTTATCCTCTCGAGTTGTTGTATCCGCTATTTTTATAGCAAGGCTATACCTCTGACTTGAAGTGTATGACATAGGCATCACTTGGGTATTGGTATGAACCGTTGACCATGAAGTGTATGACATAGGCATCACTTTGGCTTCGGTAGAATAATATTCTTGAGTATTTTCCCGTGTTATTTTTATTTATGCTATTTATGATAGCAAAGCTATATCTTTGACCATGTGATCAGTTTAAGAACTCAGATTCACAGTGGTACTGGTATGTAGCCTCTGGCCATGTAGAGCGTGTCCCCCAGTAAGTGAATGACTCTATTCTATGGCATTGGCAGAAGGTTAGACAGGGCGTGAAAACCTGAAATCTACCTTAATGTTAATCAGAAATTGTTTGTCTTTAGTGCCATTTGGGCTGAAACGTTATTGATGTTTATCAAGTATGGAAATTGATATGTCTCAATGATTGTATATCTTTGAATCAAATCAATAATTGTTAGGGAAAACTTATCACATTATGCCTTTGTTGTTCCTTGCTCTTATTTGCTTCTGCCATATTGGTATATATATGACATAACGTTATATTGTATCTATTATTGAACTCACTAAGCGTTATCGCTTACCCCTCCCAATGTTTTAAC